TCAGAAAAAGAGCTATATGGCATTACTGTTTTGCCGAAAGAAGGTGTAACTAGTGGTTTATCTCAAAACCTGGCAAAAAAAATAGTAACAGCAATTAAAAAATGGAAAGAAGGTACTGAAAAAGAAAAACATATGAAGTATCAGCAAGAGCAATTGCAACAAGATCCTCCTACTTTGCTAGCACTGAAAAAATCGATAAAAAAAAATCAAGGCAGTAGTAGTACTACAGAAAATTTAAATTATACATGTGTATATTTTAATTTAGAAGAAAAAAATCATGAATGGCAATAAATTATATATATTAAAAATGTAAATTATTAACTAAATGTTTATATATAAAACTTAAAGATAACAAGTAAACATTAGGCAGGGAAAAATGAATAAATAAATTAAAAAAAAAAAAAAAAAAGTTAAAAAAATATCAGATTAACCAAATGGATATGGATCATATAAAAATAAATCCGTTTGGATTCAAATCAGATCAAATAAAAACTGATCCAATCGGGTTCAGATCAGATTAACCTAAAATCCAATTTGATCTGATCCATTGTGATCCCTAGCCATATGTCATATCAAGTTGCTGGAATATAGAAAACTACAAAAGGATGGGTTGAAAAAAGGAAGGGGGATATCTAAAAATGTCTAGGTGGACCACAAGAAAATGAGAGAATAAAAATGAAAAAAATATTTCCAGCTTTCTCCAAAGACCTGCTTCTCAAGACTTCTTCTTAATAAGAAATGCCTGATTTGAATATCCTTTCTTTTCCTGACCATCTGTGGAACTTATTTATTCTTGATCTTGATTTCCTTCTTGTGTACCATCTAAAGAGACTTATTGCCTAATGTGAGCTTTTACTTCTAGGACACACTTAGTCTCAACCTTCTTTGAGCAATAATTTTTTATCCACTTGCAGTAGATAAAGATGGGTCTCTAAAGGGGGAGGTAGAGACATAAGTCAAATGTCCTTCATTAGGAAACATTAAAATTTTTAAATTAATAACTATAAAAAAACTATTCACAATTGTTCTCTATTATCTAAATTCTTAATTTATAATATTTCCTGACTTTTGTCCCTATTAAAATAAAGAGCCATGAATTTTGTTCCTCAAAAAAGGACATAAGTGATCTACAAAATTTTATATACTAAATACTTTAGGGACCTATCATTAGCGGTAGGAGGATAACTTAAGATGGACCCCAGGTTTTAATATGACCTAGTAGGGACTGGATCGTATTGTTTCAGTATGATATCTTTTAACAGCCACACCTAATTAAAGAAATTTTACTGGTGAATATCTTTCATTGCCTAAAATAGTCTTTCCCCAAAGATCTTTTTGCTTCACAATGGTGAAAGGGTACCAGAAGACAATAGAGATCCTTGTCGATTGTGATATCCTTCAATAACTTTTGGGGAAATACATTCTCAATTATAATCAAAGGGTTGGAGCTTAGCATGGATTAGAGACCATTCAGCCTTATTGCTTAACCAGGATAAAAAGGAGACCTTGGTCTTGAACTTTGCCTAACTAGGATGATAGAAGAGAAAGATCTCAACTTAAATAAATAGCAGCTTTTTTATCACCTGGGGACTTGTTGTTTGTATCTTATTGGTCTCATAAAACTTGATCTGTAGGTTAACCCAGTTGGAGAAGTGGAACAGACATGGGGTACCAATCAACTCTTTCTATCATCAATGACATCATTAAAACATGTGAGGTGATCAGTAAGAGCTTGTTTATATTCAGTTACTAACATGTTTTGTGTCAACCAATCAGATACCAGGTGACATTGTATTATTAAAAATTCAGGATCAAACTGAAATAGGCAAAATTTTCCAAGAAAACCATGAAAAACAGTAGACACTTTAAGAGGGTACAAAACAGTATGTGAGAAGGTGAATAATAAGCCTTCCCCTGCCAATAAAATCTCTATTTCTTGTCACTTCTAGCTCTATAAGGTGACACTCCACTTGTAATTTTTTTACTTCCTATAACCTTCTTACCCTTAATAGAGAAAGTGCGTACTTGAGTTTTTTTAGGTCACTAGAGGTTCAAGTTTTTATTTAAATGAGTTTATAAACAAATAAAGGAGAGTAGGAGAGATACATGAAGACAAGCTTCAAGTTGTTTTAATGAAAGTGTAAAGACTTTATTAACAAAGAAGTATAAAACTTCTTGTGAATATCTTTTTTGTGTGTGGTCAGATGATCAGTGGAAAGATTTTTTTTTTTTTTTTAGATTTTTTAGGTAAGAAATATTTTTTTAAATTATTAATATTATATAATATTATATATAGTTTACTATTATTTAATAAAGTATGTATAATTAACCTGCAAGTCTATAGTACAATACTTTCAGGTCACAATTACAAGATTTATAATTTAATACTATTTAAAGGTCAAGTAAAAATATCACATACAATGAAAATGATTTCATTAAGTGATAAGTTACTACTTATTATTGGATATGGTCCTAACTATTTTATTGATATTTAAAATAGAAGGATCCATTGTAATATGGTATTATTTATAGCTAATCTTTATTAAATCAGATTAATCTATAGGTATTGTAAATAATCAGTATTTTATCATTATTACAATAAGATAAAAGAGGATAGGATTAATCTTATAATTAATTAGAATAAAAACTGGATTGGTGAAAGTACTCTAACAATCTTATTAACTGATAAAGAAATTGGCAAGTTAAAAAGATTGAAGTTTTGAAAAGAGTAAACAATATATTGGTAAGATATATGAAAGTATAATCAAATTTGCTTGTAATATATTATTGGGAGACCTTGGTGAGAGAAAAAATCTACAGATCATATTAAAGTTTCAAAACTAGAAACAAGTTAAAGTACATATAATAATCTGATAACTAGATTACTCTATAAATTGTTCTAGGAATAATTAAAAGAGTATTATATATCTTTTTCAAGAAGAAAACTAGATAATTGAGTGGGTTAATCTAGTATACTATATGTAGAATAATTTAATTATTTATTATAATAGATAGTATATAACTTACGTTATTCTATAAATCAAATATATATAAAGACATGTTAACTATAAAAAAGTTAATAAAGGGCACAAACTTTAATGATCTTACTGATTAATAAAGAAGTTGTCAAATCAAAAAGACTAAAGTCCTAAAGAGAGTAAATATTGTATTGGTGGGATACATAAAAGTATAATCAAACTTGCATGTGATGTATTATCAAAAGATCTTGGTAAAAAAAGAAATCTATAGATCATATTGAAATCTCAAAACTAAGTACAGATTAGAGTATATACAATAGTCTTATAACTAGATTATTCTATAAAATTGTTCTAAAAAAATTAAAAGAATATTATATGTTCTTTTTAAGAGAAAAACTAAGTAACTGAATAGATTGATCTAGTATACTATATGTAGAATAGTCTAATTACTTGCTGTAATAAATAATATATAATTTATATTATCCTGTAAATCAAATATATACAAAGACATGTTAACTATAAAAAATTAATAAAAAGTTTTCTCAAATAATACACAAGAAGGAAATCAAGATCAAGAATAGATAAGTTCCTTAGATGGTTCAGAAAAAAAAAGATATTCCAATTGAATATTTCTTATTGAGAAGAAGTTTTAAAAAACAGGTTTTTGAAGAAAGCTGGAATTTTTTTTTTTCAATTTTTACTTTTTCATTTTCTTGTTGTCTATTTAGATATTTTTAGATATCACTTGTTTCTTTTTCAACTCATCCTTTTGTAGTTTGCTATATTTCAGTGGCTTGGTATAACATATGACAGTGACAATCTGCTAGCAATGATGTAATGAATTAGAAAGATCTTTATCCAAAGATACTGTGAAACAAAATATTATTCTCAAGACTAAACTTAGAGGCTTTTATGTTTATAATAAGTTAATTAAATTAGAATAATAGTTTAGTTGTAGTATGTATCATGCTACTTGAATAAAAATATAATTTTATTTTCAATTGATTAATAAACTGATGATTTAACCTGACTATAGGTAAAGTTAGATTCCTAAAGGAGAAGTCAGGAACAAAAGTCAAATGTTCTTCACTAGGAAACATTAAAAATTTTAAATTAATAACTATAAAAAAACTACCTACAATTGTTTTCCATTATCCAAATCATTGATTTATAGTATTTCCTGATTTTTGTTCCTATTAAAGTGAAGAGCTATGAATTTTGTCCCTCAAGGGACATAGGTGATCTGCAAAATTTTATATGCTAAATACTTTAGGGACCCATCATTAGCTACAGGTACTCAAAAAAATAAATAAATAAAGTGCATACAATTAAACTTATATTATCATATTTAATTAATGGAAGATATTAAAACAAAGAATGAAATTTCTAAAATTCACTTTAGATAGTTGAATAAGTAAACATTTTTAAAATCAATTTCGATTAAAAAGAAATTTAATTTAAAATTAACCAAAGAAATACTCACCGCATAAATTAGAAAATATCCAATCTTATCGCCATGAAATCCTGCGTAACTTAGGTGCATTGAATTGAAATTAAAGCGCATGTATACAATTCACAAAGCATCTCGAAAAAGAATCTCAATTGCAAATCAGATCAGAAACCTGTTATTACTGAAGAATTTTATCAGAATTAGCCCGCAACAAATTAGATAAAGCAAAAATTCCCAAGCAGCCAAGAATACCTTTTTAAAAATTTTTTCAATCATTGGTACAATTATTTAGCATTAATCAAATAAAGAAGGCGTATGTGACGCAGGCAAGATGTTTCATTAGTACAAAGATCAGAAAAGAAGCTTGCATTCACAAAGTCTAAAAGAGGGATTTTACGTGTGATACTGGCATAATCTTGTTATCAATGTGAGACAGGTAAAAACTTTTTTTTGCCTAATATAGACAATGAAGTCATATAGTGCATTTTTTTTTTCATACGTGCTCATTGTAATTTCGTTTTTCATTGTTTTTGATATATATATATCTCAGGCGGTGCGACAATTCCCGAACAATGGTACGACGTTGGCGGAGAAACGTCAGATAACAATGTTACAATAGTGCTGCTGCAAAGAAAAAAATTTTTTCAAAAAAAAAAAAATAATAATAATAATGAAATAATGAAATTTTCAAAATCCCGGTTATCATACGTTTTGCATTGTGAACATTCTTTCGAAGAAATTTTGGTAGCGATTGTAAAAAAAGATTATTTTTAAAACATAATCATTCTTTGAGATACACACTTCTTTAGGAAAATTCACCACAGCACTTATACTTCTTTTGGAATTCTCGTCGAGGCCCCACGTTGCCAACGCTAGCCCCGCACGCCCCATAATTCAGGATGACTAAAAATTACATGTGCATATGTATTTTTAAATACTTCTATTGGTCAATTGATTACTTATAACTCGTATTTTAGGGTTCTTTCATTAAAAACCGCAGTGACGTCTCATCATCTTAATATCTGTTTACACCGCATGTTTTTCTTTGGATAAACTGGCTATGTCGTTAAATTCAACTAACGTCAATACCCGCAGAGGTACAATTTCAAGTAGGCTTAACTTTTCCTCATCTACTAGACAAAGCGCTTTCACACCGCCTCGTACACAAGCTCGAAGAAAACAAACTTCTAAAAAACAGTCACCACTGGATTCTCCAACGAATGGTAACCGTTAAACCGAAAAGTTTATAATAGTTTCCACTACTTTATCAATTAATATGATGAAAAAGAAAGCAAGATTTTTACTCAAGTTTTTTTTACTTTTAACCACTTGCTTTATAGATACCGTCAGTGGAAACGCTGGTTCGTGCCGCTATGACAGTTCACTCGGTCTTCTCACAAAGAAATTTGTGAGTCTACTAAAAGAAGCCAAAGATGGTGATTTAGACCTGAACACGGCGGCCACCACGTTGCAAGTTCAAAAGCGCAGAATATACGACATTACCAATGTGTTGGAAGGAATTGGTTTAATTGAAAAAAATTCGAAAAATCATGTCCGTTGGAAGTAGGTTACATATATGCAATCTTTACCTCGATTGAAACCACTTTACTTTAATAACCGACCTATGTGATATAATCGCGTAAATAATCGTCACAATAATCACAATTTAGAGGAGCTCAGCAACAGCAATCCGCGTATTCTACCCGCCAAGATTATAAACAAAAGATTGAAGAACTTCGGGCCGCCAATGCTAATCTCGAATCAGAAAGACTGGAATTAGAAAGGGCTGACCTAGATGTGGATATTAGTATCAAAAGCATATACGAGTCCGAAGAAAGCTCGAGGTTTGCAGAAGCTGTCAACGTGTCATATATATATATATATATATTTTTGTCACACCTATTTCACATCTTATCGTGCTTTTGATAGGTTAGCGTTTGTATATCAATCTGAAATAGAAAATATTGATTCTTTCCGTGGAGATATTCTCATTGCAGTTTCTGATGCACAGTTGCACATAACCGAAGCGGTGGAGGTAAGTTTCTATTTAACCTTTCTCCGAACTTGAAGTGAAATTACACTAATGCATTATTACTCTTTTCAAAAGAATGGTCAACCAAATAGACCTCTCTATCAGATTCACAT